GTGTTTCTGAGCTTATATTTTTACACAAGGCATAATTACCCGTTTATGCAGTAACTTAACAAGTGGGATATCAATAAATTGGGCAAGTGGAATACATTTTCTTAACAAACGATGGTTTTGCAGATGGCCATATTACATTATACGGTTAGCAGAAAACATGCATCTTTCGTTCATAAGAGAAACTTGGTTTTACATCAACTTAGGCGTATTGTTTTCACAAATGATTAACACGATCTGTCTGGTTGCAAGCGTATAAATTACAGAATAATGTAGATGTGAGAGGAGGCATGGCCCAGATACAAATTAGATCTGTTGTGAAAAATGACCCAAAATTCCGTGAACTTTGAGCAACCTCAAAAACGTATTTTCAGTTTTGGGCAAGTGATACTCACAAACACATTCAGTCCTAAGTCCTTTTGTCAATCTAAGAGATTTTGAGTCTGAAGGTCACCAAAAAGCTTTCAACTCAAAATGTGGTATGAAGTTTTTAAGGACAAAATGCGCCGCACCGGTCTAAAATGTTAATATTTTAAAGAATCTTAAAATATGGTTTAAAAATAGCTAGGGGTTTTCTCTGAGTTGTTCTGGAAATCCTCGATTAATTCCGAGTCGAAGAATGGAAGGGTACCTCCTTTACGTTATCATTAATTTTTTTCCTTCTTTTTGCAATAAGAGTTAAGGAAGGTTTGCTTGAGGAGAGCTCTTAATTTGTTTGCTATATACAAAGTCCGTTAAATAAATATTTCTTAACTTTCCCGAGAGACTTTAATTACACTAGGCTCAAAATTATGAGTTTCCCACAAAACCGCTTGACTCTGACTAAAACGTCAACACAAATCAAAAGCTTAGGGAATCGGTGAGAAAACAAATATATTTTTTAATTTAACACAAGAATCATTTCTTTTAGGCTGCTCTAGAAATAGACGGGAGGTGGTAAAAAGCTGTCTAAACACATCTGAGAGGTTTTTGTCTTCTTGATGAAAGATGCGCGAGGAACGTGGACCCCTCGCTTGAACAGGGTTCTATATAAAGAAACCCGTGAATCCCTTTTCACAACGTGTTTCTAGAGCACTTAGACCAGACGCGTCAACATGAAGGCAACTCTAGCTTTGTTGTTCCTTGCAGCACTTGCCGTCTTTGTTCAAGCAGAATGGGCGTCGGAATTTCATCCCCATGCCATGTTGGAGTACGCCAGAGGAGAAGAACATGAAATGAAGAGGCAGCTTTTCCATTTGGTGAAGATGGACAATGGTTTTGAGACAAGCTTCAAGCGAGAGTTTAAGCCAAGCTTTGAGCCAAGCTTTGAGCCAAGCTTTAAGCCAAGCTTTAGCCCAGGCGTGATAAAGGTAAGTATAGAGTCACACCCAACACAACAGTTAAACATCGGGCATGAGCAAGGGGATCAATTTTTGCCGGCTGCACGCCAGATTCCAACGCACAATTTCATGTGAAAATATCAGAATTGCAAAAATAAAAATGTAAATGAAAAAATCTAGGAAAAAATGGGACAAAAGTAGGAAAAATGAAAACTCGCGACTACTTTTTATATGGTTTTAAAACAAGTCGCTGGCTAGTGTGGTCGTTTAAACCTCTTGTTATACGAATTGGTTCTGAGGGTCCAAAAGCCCACAAACCAGCTGTTACAACTTTCGCACCTGCACAGACATTTGACCCTTTCCCCCCCCCCCCCCCCCATGTGTTATCACGGCTATGATGAGAGGATGAGGTAAGCTCACAAAAAAGTAGGAAAAATAGACGTTCAATTCGTTTTTCGTAAGATTAAGATAAAGAAAATCAATCCTGTCCCAGACAGTCAGTTGATGAGGACGAGCAAAAAAAAGGGGGGGGGGTGGCAATGAGTGAAAAACATAAGGTAAGAGCATGGTAAAAGTTAGAAAGAGATCTGAGTTTCCGATTTCGACCGATTCGCGATCCCCCACTGAACTACAGAAAGCTCGAAGAGATGAGTTTGCTCCCCGGCTTAATTACATTCACTTCATTTGATTTTGGTCTTTTTTTTATTTGATTGAAGTGTGCAATTCAGTTCACGAGATGTAAGAAAAGAGCAGCTAATTCCTGTGATGTGCTGGGATGTATCAAGAAATTTGGAATTTGTTTGGCAGGTCAAAACGTCCAACTACCAAAGCCAGTGGAAGAGTCAGTGGTATGCTCTTGTTTCTTTTTTTCACACTCTCGTCAATTCTCTCTCTCTCTCTCTCCTCACCTCCCGTTTCATTAAATAACTCGAAAAGCTTTAAAGTTAACCATTTTACTACTCGTGTTTCGTTCTCCCAACTTCAGGCGTCAGATCACGTTGTAAAACCTTGAAAATTTAGACGCTTTACCATTTTTTGCGTTCAATTCAATTTCCCTCTTAATATCATTTTAATTATCGCGAGAACACTATATTAAGATCACACAATGATCGAGTCCCCTCATCTCGTACCCAGTATGCAACCCTTTCCCCCCAACCCTGCGATCAACAATGAATGGTCCCCCGTTCCTCTGTGATTGGTCCAGAAAAAGCGCGCCATCCTTCCAATCATCCAGATCATCATTATCATCATCATCATCATCATCATCATCATTATCATCATCATCATTATCATTATCATTATCATCAGGGCTAAATGCAAGACTGAAAACAAACACGACTAGGTCACTCGTGTTTTCCCTTGCTCTACGCAGTTTTGCTTGTTTTCACTTTGAGTACTCTTTGGCTAATGATAATGTAAATGATAATGATAATTCGACACTCAGGTGAATGCTGCTTCATAAGTCTTCTGCTTATGCTCTCTGACCGACAGTTTTCTATTCTGTTTAAACATTATTGCAGAAAGAATGTCTTCCGCTGATCCCGTATTGTATAAAGCTCAGCGGCGAATCTTGCGATGAAAAGCTTTGCTGTTTTGTGCGGTTTAAAGAATGCATGTACAACTACCATACTGGAAAAGCTTAAGGGAAAAGGCTGGAGTAAGGATGAAAGACCCCTTGTCACGGAAACCGGAAAAATGTAACAGAGCCTGCAAATTAATAGTAGTTTTATATCGATATCATGTTGCCATAAAGTAGCAAGTGTAACATTAAAAAAGCCTGATTGTCATAAAAATGAGTCTTTATGAATGATTGATCGCATTCCCAGTTCGTTCCGGGTAAAAGTGGTAATTTCGTGGACTGAAGTACAGGGCGAAAACAAAACGAAAACATGTCCGGCATGGCTCAAAAGTCTGATGGTAACAAATGTGAGTCACGTTTATCGAATTTCATCATACACTGAGTCATCCATCATCGAGGCGACGATTTGTTGTGTATCCACTCAGTCATAATATGACGTCTAGACAAATATACAAGTCACTAATAAGTCGCTTAATTAATATGAAATATACAATTCGCATGCTACGTTGCATTTGTCTTATAAAGATTCTTAGACTCGTTAAGATCTTCTGAAGAAAGGCTCGACTGTTCTGTCTTATGTCCTTTGCCTTCCCTTAAACGGTTTTTCTTCCCACATTTACACATACTTTTATACACTCGACGAAACGTTTTCAATTGTAAGCTGTACAAGATTGGATTTAAGGAGCTGTTGCTTAAAACGAGCAGGAAACTCATGTCTCTTAACCAATGAACGACAGCACAATCGCACAGAGAGCAAAAATACAAAATATAAATGAACAGACAAGAGGGGACAAAACAAAAAAAAAACATCCCCAACATCATCAGGTAAAGCTTGGTTAGATTGTTTTCCAAAAGCAGTTACTTTTTCCTTTCGCATTGTTGATAGCCACCTTCATGTAAGATTCCCACTTGAATCGTGCGAATGCGGAGAGATCTAAATATCCGGTAATAAGCGAAAACTAGAACACATGTTGTACTAAGCACTGCTGTGTTGGCAAAAACAAACGCAAAATTGATGAAACCGATCTTGATATACGCCAATGATAGTAACATGGACACGATCCATGCCGCCATGCAAATCTTCATGGTCAAAGACAAAGTGACATGGGATTTATACCACAAAGAATACGATATGGCTAGATATCTATCAATTGCAAGTACACCAAGGGTTAATACTGAGGAAGTGCATGACATGAAGTAGCTCAAATGTGTAACATACACGGCGAGATCTTCCACTACACTCCCCCGCACTTCCTGAATCGTGAAGTACGCCGCCATCGGTTCTGTTATGGCACCCGCAGTCAAATCTGCCAGCGCCAGGTTGGCGATTAAGACCGTGAAAGGTTTCCTTAGTTCTTTGTGAGGATCTTGATAGACCGCTAACAAGACGAACAGATTCCCCAGGATGGTGATGCATAAGAGGAACAGCGATATAGTCATAGAAAAATAGGAAAGATATGTTGGTGGTCCTCGAGTATCACAATCCATCTCAGCGTTGTCGCCGTTGGTCCGTCAGATATCGGAAGTTGAAGTGTCGTGCACAAACGTTTCTCAACAAAGAGGCAAGAAAACTAAGACAATAAAACAGATATAGTCAACTTTTGCATAGGAAAGAGGGTGAATTTTTTAAAGAAATAAAGGAATAATTAAAAGAAATAGAAGAAATGGTTCTTAAACATTTGAGTTGGCATATCTTACCTAATATACTCGTTTCAATGGTTCAAATTCTTTTGTTGATGTCTCTTGAAATTTCCAATCCAATGAAATAGGCAAAGAAATGCTAAAAATTTGACGAGTTGATATTAAAACTCCTCGCCAAGTTAAAAAGAGCCAAACAACGGTTGATAACACGGCTATTGACTTTTGGCGAAATAGTGATCGAGTCAGGCTGTTAGGGCAGGAGGAAATTGAATGTCAAATTATCGGTTGGTTTAATGACACAGACGTACGTGTTGAGAAGGTGGCTTATGATAATATTGTATATTTTTTTAAGATGGAAACAACACGAATTCAAAGTAGACTATAGGAAATTTTAATATCTAGCGTTTTAAACTGAATTTTATTTACCAACCTACATTTACAGTCTATGAAATTGTCGGAGAAGATATTCAAAAAATCCTCTAACAATCCTTTTGGATTCTAAGCTAAATTAAAAGACATTGTTAAAGTTGCCTTGACAGAACAACTCAGCGCCCAGAAGGCAAAACACGCACTCATATTTGTTGACCTAAGGACTGGCCGAAGTCACCTAGTCAAACATGAATTGATTAGTTTCCGTTCAATCAACTTCGTGCAACATTGAAAATGAGTGTTCATTATTATCAAACAGTATTTGGATCTTTCCTATTAGTTAATTGACTTGTGGCTTTTGTAGAGGTAGTATATTCAAGTTCCATTGTATTAAATCTTTCTTTTGTTTTCGTTCAGAAATGCAAAGTTTTGTTCTTGTTGCATATAAAAAAAATTGAATAAAAGAGATTTTAAGCCAGTAACTTGCCTTCAACCTATGGTTGTCTGCACTCTAATTAAACATTTGAAAGTGGCTGATTGAACTTGGGGTTCTCTTTCATTTTATAATTGCGAGGAATTTTTTATCTCGGTGCATAGTCCAAGTAAAGTACATTAGTCTTGGGATAACCACCAAATGTTTTATGAATAGCAAAAGGTAGTATGGCTGTAGTTCGTAAATTCAAAGCACGACCTCATAAGCTAAAATTTGTCACTGATGCACTTTGGTCATCGAAGAAAATTTTACTTAGGTAAAAAAACCCTTAACGACATCCTTTCAATTAAAAGCTGTTTATGTATTCAACTGTTCATGAAATGTCGTCTGTGGCAAAAAAAAATTGATTATCTACCATGGGTTTGGCTATATTACCCAAGTGTTTAATATGCTAAATGTCACTTTTCCATTTGGATGAATTAAACAGAAAGTTTTCTGGCGAACATGGGCGAATATACAAATCATGAAGCTTTTCCATTCGTGCCGTTTAACCCTTTTCCAGCACGCAAAAAACCTTATAATTTGGCCATACAAAACTTAAGCTCACTTTGTTTGTCGTTATATGAGGTATCCCTTACAATATTTGCGGTTTTGAGACACCGTGGGTTCAGACTTTGGGATCACGTGACCTAGATCACCCGCTCGCGTTTGGATGCGTTCAAATCGATTCGTTTCCTCGCGTTTCTAAGTGTTTTTCGAGCCATTTTTCCTCTACAGAAGCCCTCAGGACAGCATCATTAAGCTGGAATGTGGGTAGAGGCAAGCCTCTGAAAGAAAACAGGTGAGAGGTGGTTTCATGTAGACTGGACCGCCAAAATGCTTTCATGCAAGCTTGGCAAGTTCACAAGTGAAGTCGTGGCTCTGGCCCAGCTGTGGATGGCTACCAGGACCTACCAAGGCTTTTTGGGCCAGTTTTGAGTGGCAAAAGCCTCGATCGATGTAATATTTTGCTGGTAGGACTGGGTGGCCCGACAAGATTCTAATAATTTGTTAAAATGGAAATGTGAGGTGTTGCCTTCTCGAGTTGTGGTGGAATTTCCCAGAACTCTTTTCGGTCGTAAACCAGGCAAAGGTTGTGTTTGCGACACTAGCTTTCGTCAAAAGGAGGAGCAAGGGCTAGCGGATAAAGTGAGAAGGCATTTCCCAGCCAAACAGCAAGATCTGGCCCGGAGGTGTGGTTTGAATGCAAACTTTTGATTTCTTGTGGAGCAGAATGCTGGATTTTTGGGATTTGTTGTTATATGAACGGTTCACTGCAATGGAAATCGGGAATCATTGTGGGTGTTTTAGGCTGCAATAGGTGTCACATCAAACAGCCTTGCAATGTACACACTTACATAATGTTGTCTCTTAATTTCAACAAGAAACAAATAACAGTAGTGGGTGTTTTTACACCCATGTATGCTTATGTCTGCGTGGCTTGCTGGAAAAGGGTTAACGTTACCTTTTTTCCTAAATTGCTATCTGAACTTTGAAGGAAGGATCGTTCTCAGTACTCGTATCTTTTTTAAGTTTTGTGAAATTATTCTGATATTTTTCAGTTCTGGCTAGGATAAACGAAATTCATTTGCGTTTGATATTGAATATTCAATCAAAATCCTTTAAAATAGGTAGAACAGATAATCCTCTTTAATTAGTATTTGCGTTCAGATTTCACAAAGTGTTTGATTTTTAATTTTTTTTATCACAACTGTGGTTACCAGACAGCTCTTCTTTCTTATCCCCGTTGTTTTTATTTTAGAATTTTAAATGATAAACTGGGATCGAAAATGGACTACAGTTTAACTTAAAACATTAGTAGAGCAGCGGAAACTGACGATGCAGTTCTGCAAGGATTTTATTTTTTAACTGGACAACAAGTAAAGGACGAGCAATGCAACAGTGTTAGGTATAAGTAATTGCTTAAAGAAAAAGGAACTGTTATGTCCTAATGTAGTAGCCGCAGACACTGATACCAAACGTTGAAATGACACGTTATTTCCAGTCAGTTTGGTTAGTTAGTGGAAGATCGCGGGAGTGATTCGCAAAACTGAATTTGCACATCAGCAGGGATACCTCACACAGCCGGAAAAGCAAACCTTTACACCAGATTATCTATGTCTACAAGGATAAAATATGAGGAAAGTTTACGGTCCATGAACCACACGAAGTCCCTTGTAATGCCTAACCCATTACACAATAGTTCCAGAAAACCAGATTTTTCTTGCTATCTTCACTTTGGATGTCACTTCTGCACCGTCGATCCCCACAAAGGAGATGTCGAACTTATTCTTGGTCAAAGGGTCTTGAACCTCTCCACCCGCGATCTGTGGTGAACCAGAGATGCTCGGAATCTCCACCTCAATTCCATGTCTGAGCAACAAGTCTACCACCTCCTCCGTACCAACATTTTCAGGGGCACCATCGAGCTGAACCACCTTTAATTTAGAAACAGAGAGGATTATCTTGAAAAGGTGTTCTCCTTGGCTGGACTCCAGCTGAATAACTAGCCAGGAGGAGGGGGTGGGGGTCATATCGTTGTGTCGTGGGGCTAGAAGTATACTGTCACGATGATCTTCTTAAACCAGTAATAAATTTGTAACCGTGCCCCCCCCCCCCACTCAACTCAATTAAATCTTAGATAAGCTTCTTCTCTTATGTGAAGTTGATAGAGGTGATCGTCAGTAATGATGATTAAAAAAAACTCCCTCTGAGAAGAAATCATTTTGTATGTAAGACTGTCTGTTGAAAGCCAAAGCCTTTGAATAAAAGAAACATTTACCTGAAAGAAATCTGGACTTTTGGTTGGAATGTGAAACAGGAACACACTCTTCTTGTCGCCATACATGAAGTAGGTACCGTGATCTTGGTAGTCGCCTTTGTCAAAGTGCTCGTACCGTGGAACATCGATGATCTTCATCTTTGCAGACATGAACGGATTCTTGTCATGATCAGAAGGCATACCAACGAAGCAGTCGAACTTTTCCTTTTCCTCAGCGTACTCAGACTGTTCGAAGAAGGTTTCATGAAATCTTTGCTTTTTGCTTCTAAACACGATTGGTTGAGGCTCCATGCTGGACTTTAGCAGTTTTTCCTGCATGGACATATACCTCTCGGCGTCTTTGTCGTGGAGGAACTTCAGTTTCACCACATTGTCATACTGCTTTGAAACATCGTCGAAGTCTCCGACGTAAGATGCAATCACTTCATTTTCCTGATTGACAACTCCCGTGGTGACAAAGTTGTGGAAAGCTTTGGGATCGGTACACTGAAAAAACAGTCATTGAAGTTAAAAACAAGAGCTATCGTAACTGACAAAGAGCCTTTCCATTTATTCTCTCACCTAGTATGTACAAGATATGACACTCCATGAGTCACCCTTACCGTTCCAATTGCATTAAGGATTGCATTCCTCAAAATGGCACCCATGTCGTCTAAAAATTCTGTGGATGTGGCCCATGGATCCATGCAGGTTGTGATGATGTATTTGACTGGTGTGTCATTGTTGTGTTCCAACTGAATTTCGAGAAGAGAAAACATAACGAGGAAAATATTTAAAAGAAACCTGTAATCCAGGTTGTATTAATTGGTTCACTTGGCTTCCCGCTGTGATTGGTCGGGAAAACTCATGCCTTTCTCTCGACCAATCAGAACTAAAACCAAACACGGCTTGGTCAGTCATGTTCTTTCAAGCTTCAGAGAGTTTGTATTTAACCAGGGGTTCTTATTGGCTCCTTTTAATATCATTCATTCCTCTGATTACCCATTTTAAGTAATTTGATTTTGGTTTACGACACTTGAAATCAACAAGTGCGGTTATAGGCAGTCATCCGGTCACAGTGAGTTTTTGTTGTATCTGCTAAAGAACGATGAAACGATGGATCTTGACCAACGGGTCTTGAGAGAAATTTTTATGATGTATTTAAGCCCTCTTACTTACCCCTAATCTTTTCTTGAAATTTGGAACAGCAGCACTGTGCTTATGGGGAACCAAACTTGATGCCGTAACAACCAATGGTATTCGATGCGCGGTCTGCTCACTAGATGTGTGACACAGGTCCTGGAACAGTGCCAAGTTGATTTCATTACACTTTTCAACATTTTTGTTTCCTTTCAAGTTGACAGAAAAACACGGTATCATGGTGTCGGGACCAACTTCCAGAAGATACTCCATAGCTTCCTGATCCTGTAAGTTAAAGAGCCAGCAATTTATTTAAAAGTCAAGACTTGTTTGCTTGTTGGATCCAGATACGATACAGAGAACATTTATTCCAAAAACAGAATTTCATCAACATTTTTTTTTATTCACACTATTCAGGTAGAAGAAAAGAGAGCAAGAAAAAAAAAGCAAGTATAGAAAACAAATAATAGAAGATATATAATTATAATACAACTATAATACAGTTAGTGTGCAACAGCCAAAGTAGCAAAGCTTTCGAGTTGGCTGCTACTTACTTACAAGTAAAGAAAGGAACGAAGGAAACAAATAATAATTAAGACTAAACTAATTTACAAGGCAAGAAGTATTATGAAAATAGAATGGAGCTGTTGCATTAAAAATTACAGAAAAGTCGTACAATAAAAGTAGATATGATCACAGAGTGAAACTTAGTTGGAAATTCA